TAGATATATAGATAGATAGATAGATAGATAGATAGATAATAGATAGATAGATAGATAGATAGATAGATAGATAGATATAGATAGAGATAGATAGATAGATAGATAGATAGATAGATAGATAGATAGATAGATAGATAGATAGATAGATAGATAGAATAGATAGATAGATAGATAGATAGATAGATAGATAGATAGATAGATAGATAGATAGATAGATAGATAGATAGATAGATAGATAGATAGATAGATAGATAGATAGATAGATAGATAGATAGATAGATAGATAGATAGATAGATAGATAGATAGATAGATAGATAGATAGATAGATAGATAGATAGATAGATAGATAGATAGATAGATAGATAGATAGTAGATAGATAGATAGATAGATAGATAGATAGATAGATAGATAGATAGATAGATAGATAGATAGATAGATAGATAGATAGATAGATAGATAGATAGATAGATAGATAGATAGATAGATAGATAGATAGATAGATAGATAGATAGATAGATAGATAGATAGATAGATAGATAGATAGATAGATAGATAGATAGATAGATAGATAGATAGATAGATAGATAGATAGATAGATAGATAGATAGATAGATAGAAGATAGATAGATAGATAGATAGATAGATAGATAGATAGATAGATAGATAGATAGAATAGATAGATAGATAGATAGATAGATAGATAGATAGATAGATAGATAGATAGATAAGATAGATAGATAGATAGATAGATAGATAGATAGATAGATAGATAGATAGATAGATAGATAGATAGATAGATAGATAGATAGATAGATAGATAGATAGATAGATAGATAGATAGATAGATAGATAGATAGATAGATAGATAGATAGATAGATAGATAGATAGATAGATAGATAGATAGATAGATAGATAGATAGATAGATAGATAGATAGATAGATAGATAGATAGATAGATAGATAGATAGATAGATAGATAGATAGATAGATAGATAGATAGATAGATAGATAGATAGATAGATAGATAGATAGATAGATAGATAGATAGATAGATAGATAGATAGATAGATAGATAGATAGATAGATAGATAGATAGATAGATAGATAGATAGATAGATAGATAGATAGATAGATAGATAGATAGATAGATAGATAGATAGATAGATAGATAGATAGATAGATAGATAGATAAGATAGATAGATAGATAGATAGATAGATAGATAGATAGATAGATAGATAGATAGATAGATAGATAGATAGATAGATAGATAGATAGATAGATAGATAGATAGATAGATAGATAGATAGATAGATAGATAGATAGATAGATAGATAGATAGATAGATAGATAGATAGATAGATAGATAGATAGATAGATAGATAGATAGATAGATAGATAGATAGATAGATAGATAGATAGATAGATAGATAGATAGATAGATAGATAGATAGATAGATAGATAGATAGATAGATAGATAGATAGATTTTCTTTGAAAATTTGAAAAATCTAAAAATCAAATCTGGAAATTTTTACTTTCAAAATTCTTAAAATTTTCTTGGAAAATATTGGTCGTATTAAACAAAAATTAAGCCAAAACAGTAAGTATTTCAACCAGTAAAACCCCATTCATAAATTCCTCTTCTAACAATAAAATAATTTTTAATTGTATGTGTATGTATATATACAACTATGTGGGTGTTGAGATGGGGTTGTATGACATGCATCTACTATTTATCATACTCTAGAGAAATATTTATAAATCTACATAAAAGTATATGGCTGCCACTATGTGTGCGGGTGTATGTAAGGATTTGTATTTATTAAAAAAACTCAAATATCATGGCATTTAATAAACTTGGAAGTATTACAAATTCATAAACAATTATGCAAAATCGATTACAATGCAATTGTTGTGCTGATTTTTTTTGTATTTTAATTTAGTGTTTAATGTCTATAGATAGATTTTAAAAAATCAGCAAAATTTTTGCAAAAAAAATGACATTTTAATGAAAAATTTTTATAGACTTATTTGCATTTTTTTATATGGAAACAATTCACTTAATAAATTTAAACTGTGTTTTATGGAAATATTTACGAAAGTCCTTTACAAAATAAATAAACAAATAATGTATTTATTTAAATGTAAGTAGTAAGTGGTTTTAAAGTGGTCGATTTACTTTGATTTAGGATAGGTCAGTATTTTTTATTAATTGCTTTAGTTCGGTTGTTGTTATTTTACATAATTATTAAATATTTTTTTTTAAAGTTGTGTATTAAGATTTTTTGGGCGTGACTTGCAAATTTGTTTTAGATAGAATTTTTGAAATTTTTGTTCCGTTTCGGTTATTTTGTCGAAAATTATTTATTTTTAGCTTGTAGTTAGGGGCTTGTTTCTATTGTCCCTTTCCTAAGTTGTAGTTTATTTTAGAATTTTTATTATTATTATTATATTTTTTTTTTTTGAAAATCATCAGACGTTTTATTATCGCGTTGTGTTGTGGATGCAAACAAAACAAAGTCTAAAATATTGAGTAAAAGTCTACGTGTTCTTTAGTTATGGGTTGTTTTAAACATGAGCTGATCTTACATACCAAAATAATGGAAAATACTATGAATTTAAAAATGCTTACGTTTTTTTTTATTATTATTTACTATAAAAATTAAAATTAAACTGAGACAGTCATATGAGTTTAAGAGGTGCTTTATTTTGAGAACATTGCCCCATAGGGGCCGCAAGTCTGAGGGTTCAACGATAGAAAGAGGCACGGACTGGGGACTTCTTCGAAAAGCTGGATCTTTTGTTGTCTCTTCGACTACCTGACACCTGCACGGGAACTGAATCTTTAAAATTCGACTATACTTGGACAGTTTTGCACCAATCAAGGCTCTTAACTCGAACGTTATTAAGTCGAAATGTCTTCTCAATTGCATTCAATAATTGGCACAACTGACACAACATCTCGTTGAGTTGGTATGGATTCCAGGACATGAAGGAATCCGGGGAAATGAAATATCTGATGAATGAGCAACTAAAGGGTTGTCCCTAATGTCCATATCAAAATTGATAGATGACTGGGCTTTGAATGAGATGGAACTCAGGTGGTCAAACATCACCACTTGTGGAATGTCGAGACTACTCTGGCCCCCTCTGACAAAGAATAGGACTAGTACTCTCTTGCCCTCGATTAGGCTTCTCATGCGCAACTTAATGGTTGTCCTAGTGACCCATCAAAATTGATAGATGATTGGGCTTTGAGTGAGACCGAACTCAGGTAGTTAAATATCACCACTTGTGGAATATCGAGACTGCTCTGGCACTCTCCGACAAAGGATGGGACTGGGACTCTCTTGTCCTTAAGTAAGAACTCGATTAGGCCTCCTCATGTAGAAGTTGTTTGTATGAGGAAGAAGAGGAATCGATGCAACACTTACTATGTGACTGTCCAGCCTTACAAGAGCACAGACTACTCTATCTTGATAGAGCACTTTTCCATGATCTAGACTGTCTCAGAGATGTGTAAATATGTAAATATGATCGCTATTATTAGGAATACCGGCTGGTTCTCAGGGCGACCGCAGAAACCATATGGTCAACGAAATTAGGGAGGGAAACCATTCTTCTTTGTGTACGAGGAGAATGGTAATTCTAACTCACTAACCCCTTCGTAAATCAGAATTTCCAAAAGTACGAAATATCTATTTGTACTTTGAAACGTTGGTGGATTTTCATAAGTCGGCTTAACTTTTTGCGAATTGACCAAAGGCGGTTATATGACTCGTTATCAGTGTCTACTGGATACAACCGATGGCATAGCAGAGATATTAGAGTAAATACGTAGGAACCCGTTGCTGCACGAATGACTGTAACTTGGAGACAAAAGGGGCCTGTGGATCTACATTGAAAACGCAGCAAACGAAATATATTATCGTCTAGCTAATCACAACATTAACTACCAGGCAGAAGTCCATGTCATAACGGAATATGAAACTTGGATTGGAATATATACATATGACACCATAGGTTAAAATTTTTATCGACAGGTAGTAGGAAATTGGGGCAATATCAGGTGATAAGGTTATAAGACTGTAAGAGAGCCTTAACCGAATACTCTATGATCTATGATATGTTATGATTTCCTGGACTCTCGGGAATAATAGGCGATAAAAGGGGAAATTATGATTGCTATAGAGGAAAGGGAACTTGAGGAAGTTAACCTAAGGAATACGAAACCTTGGCGAGGGAATCCCATAGGACCAATTGAAGTAATAGAATAATGGTGAGTTGAATGACAAAGATCCTATCGAGGGACCCTAAAGAGGCGTCTTCAGAATGAGAAAGTAAGGGACGCACATAACTACACAAAATTTAACCTATAGATTCAAACAAATGTAGATCACATGGAGAGTATATTGAAACTCTCGAGCAATTTCTTTGTCATTGCCAGTCTTTCGTCGAAATTAGATCTAAATAAGTTTGGAAATTGACTTTCAGGGAAAGATGTTGAGATGATAGAGATGTTGTTGAGAGATGTTGTTTTCAAAAACTTGAAAACTATCAGATTAAAGGGCCCTTCAATACCGTTCTTTTAGGCACGCGAGAACAGATAATATAAACTATTCTAAAATCAAATCAAATTTACTATCAGTAGTTCCATATGTATATATGTATGTGTATATGTATGTATTTGTAAATAAGTATATATTTGTAAATCACACAGTGTCTGGAAAAGCTCAAAGTTTTAAATAGGCGGCAAAAATTAAAACGAAATTTATTTAAATAAAATGTAAATAAAATTAATAAATTTTACATCGTCTGGAAGAGATGGTAATAAATCAATCATGTCAGTTTTATTTCAATCTGAATACAATACAATTAATCAGAAAATATTAATACCTACACATGTTTCAAGTAAACTCATGTGATTTTTTTCTAAAAAAAAAAACAAAACATAAAAATCCTAAAAATTTAATCAGCTTTTCAAATAAAAAAGTGACGACAACACTAAAAGGTAGTATAAAGTACATGAGATGTTTTGATTTCGATGACAGACAATGTGTATTTTGTATTAATCCAACTGTTGTTGGTAGAACAACTTGTTAGGAGAGATTTGGTTCTTAACAAAAAAATTTTGCAAAATTCTTGATAAGAAATAAACATATTTTTTTTCTGATATTTAAATACTTGAAAAATCTTAGTCATTAACGTACTTAAGTTCAGTTGTTTCAACTTATTTTCATTCATTCATAAAATCTTCAAGCAAGAGGTACTAAGTTCCCACACAAAACGCACCATGATTCTAACGAGACAAAGCTTGCAACAACTTGCCAGGGGCATGAGCAAACAATTGAATACCAGCAAAGGATTTGTCAGACCTTTAAGTGCTAGTGTTAAAGAAGGTGATCAGTTGGTTTTGATTAAAGATTCCAAGGATTCAGTGGAATCCACATTACATTTTCCCGGTGTTTGGTTGCGTGACAATTGTTTGTGTGATAAGTGTTTCCATAAGGACTCTTTGAGTCGTAAACCTTTGCGTTGGAATAATTTCGATTGTGATGTTAAAGTGGAGAAAATTAATGTGGATGAAAATAACAAGGAGGTGCATATTGATTGGTCAGATAAACATCAATCTACTTTTAGCCTGGATTGGCTAAAAGAGCGTAGTTTCAATAAAGAACGTCAAGATAAGTATATCGACAGCTGGTATCGCCCTAAACCGGAACCCTGGAGTAAAGAGGAATTCCCAAAAATTTTGAAAAAATTCCAATACAAAGATATTATGGAAAATGATGAAGGTGGGTAGAGTTTCGGGTGAAAAAGTTATATATAAAAAAAAAAACAAAAAAATAGAAAACTCGGTAACCAACATTTATTGTTTTCCCATCGATTTTAGCTCTTAAGGAATGGTTGGAAACTTTAGCTGTTCAGGGTGTTAGCATGATTAAAAAGGCCCCTTTGGATATTGGTGTCGTCAAGACTATTTGTAATCGCGTCGGCTTCATTAGAAAGACTACTTATGGGTAAGTTGATAATAGAAAATTACTAAACTAGCATTTGAATTAATAAACTAGCTTTTGAAGTACAGTTCTAGTTCAGTTCTAGTTTAGTTCTAGTTCAGTTCAAGTTCAGTTCTAGTTCAGTTCAAGTTCAGTTCTAGTTCAGTTCTAGTTCAGTTCTAGTTCAGTTCTAGTTCAGTTCTAGTTCAGTTCTAGTTCAGTTCTAGTTCAGTTCTAGTTCAGCTCTAGTTCAGTTCTAGTTCGGTTCTAGTTCAGTTCTAGTTCAGTTCTAATTCTGTTCTAGTTCAGTTCTAGTTCAGTACTAGTTCAGTTCTAGTTCAGTTCTAGTTCAGTTCTAGTTCAGTTCTAGTTCAGTTCTAGTTCAGTTCTAGTTCAGTTCTAGTTCAGTTCTAGTTCAGTTCTAGTTCAGTTCTAGTTCAGTTCTAGTTCAGTTCTAGTTCAGTTCTAGTTCAGTTCCAGTTCAGTTCTAGTTTAGTTCTAGTTCAGTTCTAGTTCAGTTCTAGTTCAGTTCTAGTTCAGTTCTAGTTCAGTTCTAGTTCAGTTCTAGTTCAGTTCTAGTTCAGTTCTAGTTCAGTTCTAGTTCAGTTCTAGTTCAGTTCTAGTTCAGTTCTAGTTCAGTTCTAGTTCAGTTCTAGTTCAGTTCTAGTTCAGTTCTAGTTCAGTTCTAGTTCAGTTCTAGTTCAGTTCTAGTTCAGTTCTAGTTCAGTTCTAGTTCAGTTCTAGTTAAATTCTTGTACGTTTTAAGTTTTTACACAAAATCGCAGACATTAGTAAATATTTATTATTTTTTACCTCAACAGTGAAGAGTTTAGTGTTATATCACGTCCAGGAGCTAAAAACTACTCTTATCTTTCGGAGCCTTTGCCCCTACACACCGACTTGCCTTATTATGAATACAAGCCCAGTGTAACCATATTACACACATTGGAACAATCCCAGTCAAAAGGAGGTTGGAATGCTTTAGTCGATGGTTTTCATATTGCCAATCAATTGAAGGAAACACATCCTGAATATTTCAAGATACTAACAGAAACTTTGGTGGATTGGTGTGACATAGGACAAGATGGAGGTATACAATTCCATAACATATTAAGAGCTCCCGTCATAAAGTAAGTTAAGCTGAAGAAACATGAATTTAGACCAATAACTTAATTATTTAATTTTTAGCATTGACAAGGATGGTCGTTATACACGCATCAATCACAGTGTTCCACAACGTGACAGTCACTTTACCATTGATATTGACAAGGTGGTGCCCTGGTATCGTGCCAATGCTTTATTCGTGCGTATGGCTAATGAACAAACAGTGAATTTCAAAACTGAGCCAGGAGATGTTATAACTTTCAACAATTTACGCATGTTGCATGGACGTACCGGTTATGATGATACCGAAAATAATGTACGACATATTGTCGGAGGTTTTGTCGATTGGGATATTGTCTATTCGAAATTGAGAGTACTCAAGACAGCCTTGAAAAATAAGGTTTAAAGTAACAAATTATTTCGCAATACGCCTAAAGATATTATTAGCGTTTTTGTTTCTTTTTTACTGTTTATAAAAAGTATTACACTTAAAGTATAAAAACTACTAACTCGTACTTGATTAAGTTTAACACACTAATACTTTTCATTATAAACAAAATATGTTTAGTTTATAATCGTATGATTTGACAAATTAATATTTTCTCAACAATATTTGCTTTGTCATTTAAGAACTTTAATTTTTTTGCTATTTTGTTTAGAACAATCAGTTCAATAGGTTAATTTGTATTATGATTAAATAATAAAATTTAAAAAATAAAAATAAAACGTGTGAATTTTAGTTTTGTAGTAAAAACACAGTGGTAAGGAACTGGTTATGAGTTGATTAAAATTCTATGATTGTGCTTGTTTTGTCTATTTATTGAATAAAATTCTAATATAAAATTTTAATACCACAACAAGTAAAAAGTTAAAAAATTAATTCATTCCAAAACGTATAGCTTTTTATTCTTAATTACTTTTGTTACCATTTTAATAACATTTTGAAATAAAAACGTAATTTCTATACACTTACTATGTTTTTCCAAAAAAATCTTTTTTTTTAATAACTTTTACCCAAATACGCATATTTTATACAAAATAACAGTTCTAAAACAAAAACTCAGTTTTAACACAAAATGTTTTAACATAAAAACACAGTTTTTAAACATAAACAAAATTTTTACACAAAAACTCAGTTTTTACACAAACACTCAGTTTTTACACAAATACTCACTTTTTACAAAAACACTCAGTTTTTACACAAACACTCAGTTTTTAAACATATAAAATTCTACTTTTATTCAATTTCAACCACTGTAAGATTAAATTTTGATTTGTCTTCTAAACAGATGATGATTTGTAATAAAACGTTGGAAGTGATTAACCTCTCAGCTATTAAATTAAATAAATCGAATGTTTTGTCTCGGCTTGAGTGTGTATGTACACAGTTTAAATACTAGTTTTGATTGTGAATTCTTATCAGTAACAAAAAAGTGAAAGTGCGTGTGGGAAATTTTTTAATCGGTAATATTTGACCAATGTTTTTTACAGTTGCTAAGCGCAAGATTAATAAACATACATATATAACATGTAAGATTTTAATGTTTTTGGACAGAATTTTATACATTTGTACGTAATATTAATGAATTTAAAACTACACTATAGACTAGAATGTAGATTAGACAAAAGATAGGTTATATACTAGACTATTGAACAGAATACAGACTAGAATACAAACAAGACTATAGAATAGATTATAGACTAGATAAAAGACTAGACTATAGACTAGACTACGGACTAGACTATAGACTAGACTATAGACTAGACTAGACTATAGACTAGACTATAGACTAGACTATAGACTAGACTATAGACTAGACTATAGACTAGACTATAGACTAGGCTATAGACTAGACTATAAACTAGACTATTGACTAGACTATAGACTAGACTATAGACTAGACTATAGACTAGACTATAGACTAGACTATAGACTAGACTATAGACTAGACTATAGACTAGACTATAGACTAGACTATAGACTAGACTATAGACTAGACTATAGACTAGACTATAGACTAGACTAGACTAGACTATAACCTATAGACTATAGACTAGACTATAGACTAGACTATAGACTAGACTATAGAATAGACTATAGACTAGACTATAGACTAGACTATAGACTAGACTATAGACTATAGACTAGACTATAGACTAGACTATAGACTAGACTATAGACTAGACTATAGACTAGACTATAGACTAGACTATAGACTAGACTATAGACTAGACTATAGACTAGACTATAGACTAGACTATAGACTAGACTATAGGACTAGACTATAGACTAGACTATAGACTAGACTATAGACTAGACTATAGACTAGACTATAGACTAGACTATAGACTAGACTATAGACTAGACTATAGACTAGACTATAGACTAGACTATAGACTAGACTATAGACTAGACTATAGACTAGACTATAGACTAGACTATAGACTAGACTATAGACTAGACTATAGACTAGACTATAGACTAGACTATAGACTAGACTATAGACTAGACTATAGACTAGACTATAGACTAGACTATAGACTAGACTATAGACTAGACTATAGACTAGACTATAGACTAGACTATAGACTAGACTATAGACTAGACTATAGACTAGACTATAGACTAGACTATAGACTAGACTATAGACTAGACTATAGACTAGACTATAGACTAGACTATAGACTAGACTATAGACTAGACTATAGACTAGACTATAGACTAGACTATAGACTAGACTATAGACTAGACTATAGACTAGACTATAGACTAGACTATAGACTAGACTATAGACTAGACTATAGACTAGACTATAGACTAGACTATAGACTAGACTATAGACTAGACTATAGACTAGACTATAGACTAGACTATAGACTAGACTATAGACTAGACTATAGACTAGACTATAGACTAGACTATAGACTAGACTATAGACTAGACTATAGACTAGACTATAGACTAGACTATAGACTAGACTATAGACTAGACTATAGACTAGACTATAGACTAGACTATAGACTAGACTATAGACTAGACTATAGACTAGACTATAGACTAGACTATAGACTAGACTATAGACTAGACTATAGACTAGACTATAGACTAGACTATAGACTAGACTATAGACTAGACTATAGACTAGACTATAGACTAGACTAGATAGACTAGACTATAGACTAGACTATAGACTAGGACTATAGACTAGACTATAGACTAGACTATAGACTAGACTATAGACTAGACTATAGACTAGACTATAGACTAGACTATAGACTAGACTATAGACTAGACTATAGACTAGACTATAGACTAGACTATAGACTAGACTATAGACTAGACTATAGACTAGACTATAGACTAGACTATAGACTAGACTATAGACTAGACTATAGACTAGACTATAGACTAGACTATAGACTAGACTATAGACTAGACTATAGACTAGACTATAGACTAGACTATAGACTAGACTATAGACTAGACTATAGACTAGACTATAGACTAGACTATAGACTAGACTAAGACTAGACTATAGACTAGACTATAGACTAGACTATAGACTAGACTATAGACTAGACTATAGACTAGACTATAGACTAGACTATAGACTAGACTATAGACTAGACTATAGACTAGACTATAGACTAGACTATAGACTAGACTATAGACTAGACTATAGACTAGACTATAGACTAGACTATAGACTAGACTATAGACTAGACTATAGACTAGACTATAGACTAGACTATAGACTAGACTATAGACTAGACTAGACTAGACTATAGACTAGACTATAGACTAGACTATAGACTAGACTATAGACTAGACTATAGACTAGACTATAGACTAGACTATAGACTAGACTATAGACTAGACTATAGACTAGACTATAGACTAGACTATAGACTAGACTATAGACTATACTATAGACTAGACTATAGACTAGACTATAGACTAGACTATAGACTAGACTATAGACTAGACTATAGACTATAGACTAGACTATAGACTATAGACTAGACTATAGACTATAGACTAGACTATAGACTAGACTATAGACTATAGACTAGACTATAGACTAGACTATAGACTAGACTATAGACTTGACTATAGACTAGACTATAGACTAGACTATAGACTAGACTATAGACTAGACTATAGACTAGACTATAGACTAGACTATAGACTAGACTATAGACTAGACTATAGACTAGACTATAGGACTAGACTATAGACTAGACTATAGACTAGACTATAGACTAGACTATAGACTAGACTATAGACTAGACTATAGACTAGACTATAGACTAGACTATAGACTAGACTATAGACTAGACTATAGACTAGACTATAGACTAGACTATAGACTAGACTATAGACTAGACTATAGACTAGACTATAGACTAGACTATAGACTAGACTATACACTAGGACTATAGACTAGACAATAGACTAGACTATAGATAGACTATAGACTAGACAATAGACTAGACAATAGACTAGACAATAGACTAGACTATAGACTAGACTATACTATAGACTAGGACTATAGACTAGGACTCGACTAGACTAGACTAGACTAGACTAATAGACTATAGACTAGACTTAGACTATAGACTATAGACTATAGACTAGACTAGACTAGACTATAGACTAGACTAGACTAGACTAGACTAGGACTAGACTAGACTAGACTAGACTAGACTAGACTAGACTAGACTAGACTAGACTAGACTAGACTAGACTAGACTAGACTAGACTAGACTAGACTATAGACTAGACTAGACTATAGACTAGACTATAGACTAGACTAGACTATAGACTAGACTATAGACTAGACTATAGACTAGACTAGACTATAGACTAGACTATAGACTAGACTATAGACTAGACTATAGACTAGACTATAGACTAGACTATAGACTAGACTATAGACTAGACTATAGACTAGACTATAGACTAGACTATAGACTAGACTAGACTAGACTAGACTATAGACTAGACTATAGACTAGACTATAGACTAGACTATAGACTAGACTATAGACTAGACTATAGACTAGACTATAGACTAAACTATAGACTAGACTATAGACTAGACTACATTATAATACAAAAAACTTTCTCCTTTAATATTCTTTTAAATGCACACTTTCTTATACATATTCCTAATTTTTTTATGTTTTCTATATCATTCTTGCAACTTCTAACCCATTTTTCCCCTTTAATTAACACAAAATTCACTCACCTAAATTACAACATCATTATGGCCGCCTGTAAAGAAATACCATTAAATACATTAAAATTATTATTATTGGGACGGAAATTTAAGAATTCGTAATGAAAACTGTTTTTCTCTTATGTCTTCTTTTTATATCTCACATCACTTTAGTGGGGAGGGTTTTATAGGTTTGTGCTGATGTTTGTAACACCCTAAATTATTGGTTCTACACCCACCGTAAAGTATAGCAATCGGCTCTGAGCCATTTTCTGAGCTGTGTCCACCTGCCTGTCTATGTGTCTGTCTGTCTATGTGTCTGTCTGTCTGTGTGTCTGTCTGTCTGTATGTCTGACTGTCTGTCTGTCTGTCTGTCTGTCTGTGTGTACATCTAAACCTTATGCGCACTCTACAGGTCACAATTTTTAAGACAATTTGAACAAATTTAAAGACCTCTTTTGGTCCAAGGAC